TGTTGAACAGGGTTCCTAGTAAAGTTGTTCAAAAGATTTTTGAGTTATGGAAAAGTAGGAAACCTAGTTTGAGACACCTGCTTGTTTGGGGTAGTCAGACAGAAGTAAGAATTTATAATCCACAAGAAAAGAAACTGGATGCAAGAACAATCAATGAATATTTTATTGGTTATCCAGAAAAATCAAAAGGGTATATGTTTTACTGTCCTACCCATAGTACAAGAATTATTGAAACTGGAAATGCTCGGTTCATTGAAAATGGTGAAACCAGTGGGAGTAGAAGCTTCACGAAATGTGGAAATTAAGGAAGTTAGAGTACAAGTTCCCATAAAAGGTACATCTACTTCAAGAGTTGTTGTTCCACATGTTGTAGAACCACACAACAGTCAAGAAGAACAATAAATTAATGATCCCGAAGTTAACAATGAACCGATAATAGAACAACCACAAGAAATAATATTAAGAGGATCTCATAGAGAAAGAAAGTCTGCTATTTCGAATGATTACGTGGTTTATCTACAAGAGTCAGAAAATGACTTAAGTATTGATAATGACCAAGTTTCATTTTCAGATGCCATTAATGGTGATAATTCTGATAAATGGTTAGATGCTATGAAAGATGAGCTTAAATCAATGACACATAATGGTGTATGGGATCTTGTGGAATTGCCAGAAGGATGTAAGAGTGTTGTGTGTAAATGGGTCTTTAAGACTAAGCGTGACTCTCATGGCAATATCGAACGTTACAAGGCCCGACTTGTTGCCAAATGTTTTACTCAGAAAGACAACATTGATTATAAGGAAACATTTTCACCTGTTTCTAAGAAAGATTCCTTTATAATTATCATGACATTAGTAGCTCATTATGATTTTGAGTTGCATCAAATGGATGTTAAAACTGCTTTTCTGAATGGAGATTTAGAGGAGGATGTTTATATGAATCAACCAGTGAGGTTTATTGAAGAAGGAAAGGAACATATGGTGTGTAAACTTAAGAAATCAATATATGAACTTAAACAAGCTTCTCGACAATAGTATCTTAAGTTCAATGATACTATTTTGTCCTTTGGATTTAAGGAAAACACTGTTGATCGGTGTATATATCTGAAGGTCAGTGGGAGCAAGTTTATATTTCTGATTCTGTATGTTGATGATATCTTGCTTGCGACTAATGATCTTGGTCTATTAAGTGAGACTAAGAAGTTTCTCTCTAACAACTTTGAAATGAAAGATATGGGTGAGGCATACTATGTGATAGGAATAGAAATATTCAGTGATAGATCACAAGGAATGTTAGGTTTGTCTCGGAAAGCATATATTAATAAAGTTTTAGAGAGATTCGGAATGGAGAATTGTTCTGCATCTCCGGTTCCAATACGAAAGGAGACAAATTTAGTCTCATGCAATGTCCAAAGAATGACTTGGAACGGAAACAGATGGAAAATATCCCTTATGCATCTCGTTGTTGGGAGTCCGATGTACGCTCAAACATGTACGAGGCCGGATATTAGTTTTGCAGTTGGTATGCTTGGTAGATACCGGAGTAATCCTGGACTGGATCATTGGAAGGCTGCAAAGAAAGTTTTAAGATACTTACAAGGAACAAAGAATCACATGCTTACTTATAGGAAAGTTGAGCACCTTAAGGTGATTGGATATACAGATTCGATTTTCTTGGTTGTATGGATACACGAAAGTCCACATTTGGTTATGTATATCTTTTAACCGGAGGAGTGATTTCATGGAAAAGTGCTGAAGCGATCTGTCATTGCTGCATCCACCATGGAAGCTGAATTTGTGGCATGCTTTGAGGCCACAGTTCAAGCTAATTGGTTGTGGAATTTTATTTCGAGGACTTGGAGTAGTCGACAAGCATTGCCAAGCCATTGAAAATTTATTGTGACAATTCGCAGCGAGTCTTCTTTTCTAAGAACGACAAGTATTCCAAAGGTGCTAAACATATGGAATTGAAATACTTTGCCGTTAAAGAAGAAGTTCGAAACGTATAGTGTCAATAGAACATACTAGCACTGATCTTATGATTGTTGATCCTTTAACAAAGGGATTATCGCCCAAATTATTTCGTTGGCCATATAATGAATGTGGGCATTATGTTCACTAGTGAATGTTGAATGTTAATGTTATTATTAATGCTTATGTGACACTCGAGATCTTTAATGTATAAGTTTCGAATTTTGTGTTTTCTTCTTTATTTATATGCATGCAAATTATGATGAAGAAAACAAATTATGTTATTATTATTAAAATGATATTATGTTTGAACCCATTATGGACTTCTCATTATAAAGTCATATTAAGGAGAAAGAGATAATATAGTGGTACATGGAAGGGAGCCTGTCGATTGAATGACATGTAACAGTCATGACTCTTGTTATAGTTGTATCTTTAATTATGAATGATGATAGAACCAATTTATGTAAGGTCTTTTAATGCGCATTATGACTTAAGTATTAAATCACAGAATCGTATGACATCACATGAGTCAAGTGGGAGAATGTTAGAATTAATTTAATTAATTCATTCCATTATGTGACTCATGTGAAATATAATAATGGGCCCAAATGTGATTTAATAAAATATGAGGACCTATTGGTTATTATGTGAAGTTAGAATAAAATAAAGATAAAATAAAATATTAACTTACTGGTAACCAACTTGATGGACGTTGGTTAATTGAATGGAATAAGGGTTCATGCTCTGGTCATAAAGTTTTTCACGTAAACCATCAAGAAAGCGAAGCGTGAGAAGAAAAAGAAAGACAAAGAGATATATTGGGAAAAAGGAGATTGGAGAACGAGAAGATTAAAGAATAGATTTTCATGGATCAAGGTTAGTTCTCTTATTATGATTCATGTATGTTATGTTGTGAAAATCAATAATCTAAAGATCCTGTAGAGTAGTTTTCCATAATGAATTAAGAACGTAGAAAAACTACATAATGTTTTACATGGAGCATATGGAAGAGTGAAAGATCATTTATGTTTAAAAGCGAAGGATGAAGACATGGAAGAAGATCTGGGTTGAGGTGTGTTTTTATGGCCCGTTCGTTTGTCTTTCACTGAGAAGAATATGTTTTGTCCAATTTTTGTTTTTGAATTTGTTTTTGAAACAAAATTTGGTGTTGACACGTGTAAAAACTTGTTGATTGTGTTATTTCGTTTACATATAGTTATAGATTATAGATGTTAAATCACTTCAGTTTTTACAACTTCAATGCTTGCTTGAACAGAAAAATCCTGATATATTTTGAGAAATACATAACTTCAAGATAAAAAAGATATTTTATTTTAAACAATATTATGTAAATATTGAATAAGTTATGTTTAGTTTTAGGTTAATATAACTTGTTGGAATATTAGCATCGCAATGGATAAATATGATTCTTAAAAAAGAAAAAATCCATTAATTTTTTTTTACCTTTTAAATTTATCCATTGAATTTTCATTTATTATATCTATTATTAATTCACTAAATCACTTGTTAATATTTTTATAGTTATTCACAATTTTTTAATAGTTCTAATTCATTTTATAATTATTCACAAATTTTTTATAGTTCTAATTCATTTTATTTACAATAGTATGTATAATAAATGCTAAATAGTTACTATTTATTAAAAGAATCTTTCACGTGAACGTGGAGAATTAATGTAACAAAATCGAAATACATATGATATTAATATAATTTATAAAGTATTTTAAAATATAACTTTTTTTAAGATATAAAAAATTGAAACTAATAAAAACATTTAAAATTCTACCAATTTCAAGTTTTGTTAAGGTTTAACCTATATCATCAACTTTTTAAGTGCCACTTACATGAAATTGATAATACCATATAATAAACTATAAACTAAGAAATGGAATTTTGATAAAGATATAGGAGTTTAAATATTAGAAAGACACAACAAGAGTGTTTTTTATGTTTTCAAATCACTTTAATTTATAAAACAAAAAAATATTTAAAAATTCTTTTAAATAATTAATTTTAAATAATTAATTATTTTAATAAATATTCCTATATAAAAATGACAATTAATCTCATATTCGTAAGAATTAATAAATTTTTATTTTGAGTTTGACAGATAAGATCAAGTTAATCAGGATGAAGATCCGACTACGTATTCACCGTGTCCCATTATATATAAAGTCATTTTTTTTATATTTCACCATTTTCACGTACTCACTCTTTAATTTTTTTTGTTTTTATTTTATATTTTATATTAATTAATTCATTATATTATTTTCTTTCTCTTATCTTTCACATTTCTTTAATCTCTTTAGTTAATATGTTTTTTTTTTCAATCTTTTAAATTAATATGACGAACACATTTATTTTATTTTTTTATATTTTTCTCTAAATTTTTTACATAAATCTCAATAAAAACTAATATAATTTTTTTATAATTTATCTTTATTAAATTTTAATATATAATATTTATAAAATTTTATTATTTTTATTTATCACATATCAAATTTTTTCTTAATAGAATAATTATATTTTAAATGATTAAAAAAATATAATTTAAACTTTAATTATTTTAAACTAATTAAATAAGGATTAACTTATTAAATTTTTTCTTATAAATAATGTATTTCATATTTTAAATAATAATTTTAAAAAAATTAATTTATATATAAACAAATGTTTAAATAAAATATTATAATAATAATAATAATATTACAAAAATTCTATATATAAAGAAAATATTATTAAATATTTCTTTTATATATATATTTTAATATAAATATAATAAATTAAATATATATATATATATATATATATATAAATACTTATTTATATATAAAAATACATAAAATATTAAAATTAATTTATTATAATTATTTATTAAAAAATAATAAAATTAAGAACGGAACGATAATGAAGAAACCTAAAATCCACGCTAACATATATGAAATTTTAATTTCTTACCCGACTGAAATCAGAAACGGAGTAAAAAACGGTTAAAAAAGTTGGAATTAGAATCGGAGGCAAAACCGCCACTTAGCAAGCCTACCGATATCAAATTTTGTTTTAAGAAAGGCAACGCAAACCCTGCGCGGCGCCGCATTCTTAACCTAATTTTGTCATATCCTTCCAATTTCACTTTATTTTGTCCATTACCCTTCTCACTCATCCACAATGACACTTCAGAGAACATTTTCCTGGTTTGTCTGCATTTGCCATAAAAATGTTCTTCTTAAAATGTTTTCGCGTGTACAATATTCTTTACAAGAGTTATTATGGAAAAATGTCTTAAATTTATGCATCAAATCTTGTGAAGACATTTTTAATAAAAGAAAGGATGTAGTGTGCAGGGATCTTAAAATTAAAAATAAAATACAAATTAAAAGTTGGTTTAAGATTAAGGACACATTAGTTCGTTTTGCTCAATCTCTCTTGATTTACTAATTTGGAGGGTCGACTCATTCATTTTAAAAACATATTTATATATTAAAATTAAAATTTTAAAATTTATAATATAAAATATTATATTTTTTATTATATTATTAAAACAAGTAAATATATTATAATATTATAATTAAATATTTTAATATATAAATATAATAAATTTATAAATTTATTTAATAAATTTATTAATTAATAAATAAAAATTTAAAATTATTTATATAATTAAAAATATAATTTTAAAAAATTATATAAAATAAATATATTATGCTAAGTCATCCTTTAAGATAAGAGTGATGATATTTTGACCACTAGAAAACATACAACCTTTCAAACAACTCATTTTTTATTAATATAATAATCTATGAAATGATTTAATAAAAATAAAAATAAATTAAAACTATTATTATAATATTAAAAAAGAGTTATTTATCGGAATTGTTTAGATTTGAGTTGTCAAAATATCATTTTTCTTAAGATAATAGATTAAACTCTGTAATTTATTATGATTAAGATAAGTCAACTTGTTTTCCTTTCATTTTTTGAATTAGAAACGAAATGAATTAATATAAGATTGATTAACTCATTTAGTCATCTATTTAAGATCTTAATAATAAAATATAAAATTAATTGAATTTAAAAAAATTAAAATAAAAAAATAAATGAAATAGAAAAATTAATAACAAATGAAAAATTAAGTTATAGTATATATTAGTATATGATATTTAAACTGATAAATCAATCTGATTTTAATATCGAATATTTAAAAATTAATTTTGAAAAGTCAAATTGTTGTCAATGTTTTTTATATTTAAATAAAAAATCTTTGGGCTAATTTAATTTTGAAATATTTTTTTTATTATATAATATATTCAACATAATTATCTCTAAGTTAAGATTCTACTCTATTATTTATAAGGTCTCGAATTATAAAGGAACACAAACTTTTATGGAAAACACATGTTAAAATTATTATAATACAAAGAGGGTTAAAGAGATGGGTTCTTTATCCATTACATAATTTACAATAAATTATTAACCTAGTAAATTAGAATTTTCAGTACAAAATTATTAATGTCATAATAAAAATCCTCATTTTGTATGCTGAGGTGCTCAACAATTTCTATAGAGTCTATTTTTCTATTTTTACTTTTTCTTGCAAATAAAATATAAATATTTTATATTCACCTTGTAGTTTGTGATCACCATTAATTCTTTAGAAATAAAAAATGATTTCTTTGATGACACTTTCAACGGTGACAAGTATGTGTGAATATTTTGTAACATGCACCTTTTGTATTTACTGTGTTAAAGTATCAAAATTCATTATTATTTCAATGGGTTATTGATCTTAATGTTATAGGTTTTACTTCATATAAATTTAAACACTATAATTCTACTTTATTATTAAAATTGTTAAATAAGTATTTAATAAATTTCACAATTGACTTAATATTAATATTTAAAATGCTCTATACTAATTTCTCTCTCTAAGTGAATAATTTTTTGTTAAGTTGTGTCCGAAAAAAAATGCTGTTATAAAAAATTTTCTGATGATTCAGTTGCGGACTGTGTGTGACGGCTGTCTTCTGCTGAGACTTTTTTTTGTAGGAAAAAAGATTTAAAAGTTCAGATATTTGATGTGTTTTAGAAGGTTACACATAATGTCTTTCTTCTTGTCATAGTTATATTTATAACCATAATTTTATAATGATTATTTATGACAGTAGTGTCGATTTTTTTTTTTAAATTCTTGGATTAGTGTGTGGTTTGTTTTGGGTAAGAGAATTAAAAGTAAAAAAAGAAAAGAAAAAAGAAAAGAAGTAAAATAATGTCGTCCTATTTTCTGTCCATGGTGCAGAAGTGGACATCAGCAAAACAATCCGGTTACGCCACCTGTCGAGGTCCACACGCTTAACCCGTGCCATGTATAGAATCCACACCTATGCACATTCCAAGCAACTAGAACCTTCTTCCACTTCTCTTTCTTACTCAGCATTTCGAACATGTGTCATAACAAAGCCGAACAAATTCCCAATCCCAAATCCTTCCTTCACCACCATTATAAATATAAACCCTAACCCCCAATTTTCCTCACTCTCTTTCTCTAAGCAATTAATCTATCTTGAATTCAATCCATGGCACCGATGGGTCCCGGCTTCCGATTCAACCCCACCGACGAAGAGCTGGTGGTGTTCTACCTGAAGCGCAAGATCACCGGAAAACTCTCCCGGTACGACCACATCGCGGTCGTCGACGTCTACAAGCTCGAGCCCTGGGACCTTCCCCGTTAGCATTTTCCCCCCTTTCTGTGGTCTCGATTGTTAGCAATAGGGTTTGGCTTCGAGGAATTCAATGTGTTTTTAACTAATTTCGGTGTTTCAGCTCTGTCGAAGCTGAAGACCAAGGACTTGGAATGGTACTTCTTCAGCGCGCTCGACCGCAAGTACGGAAATGGCTCCAGGAACAACCGCGCCACCGAGAAGGGTTACTGGAAGACCACTGGTAAAGACCGCCCTGTCCTCCAAGGCGACCGCCGCGTCGGGATGAAGAAGACCCTCGTTTACCACATTGGCCGGGCCCCACACGGCCGTCGCACCAATTGGGTCATGCACGAGTACAAAATGCTCGATGAAGAATTGACACGTGCTGGCACAGTGCTGGTATATCCCTTTCTCTCCGTTTCTTTCTTTGTCTTTGATTCGGTGTTGTGTTGATACTTATTCTGGGTGAGGGTTTTGTTGGGAGAAGGATGTGTTTGTAGTGTGTAGGATTTTCGAGAAGAGTGGCGCTGGACCAAAGAATGGGGCCAAGTATGGTGCCCCCTTGGACGAGAATGAGTGGGACGTGGAGGAAGAGAATGAGCTGAAGGAGGTGGCTCCCTTGCCAGCGAATGCTGATGATCCGGTGGCACCATTGCCGGAGACCCCTCAGGATGTGGTGACTCCTCCGTGGGAGATTGATTATGGTGATGTTTGGGGTGCTTTTGCTAATGGGGCCTATGTGGAAGCTTCTGACCTTGACGTGGTATGTATTCATTGTAATTTATTTGTGTCCCATGATGAGGGTTGATAAATGAGGAAATAGTCTATATTGGTTCTTGAATCTTTTTTGTTTTTTCTTTAAATTGACGGATTAACTGAAGTTTTCTGTGTGCAGGTTCGATGAGTTCTTTATGAGTTGTAGTTGCATGCATAGATGTTTGTATTACTGTTTTTATGTGTGGGATGTATTTTTACCTTGTCGAGTGTGGTTTCCTTTTCGTAATTATTCTCTTCTCGTACTGTGTGCAGGTTTTAATATCTCAATATTGTTGTGGGGCCATTATTTGGGTTGCTATTAGCTCTAATGTTGTTTGTGTTGTCCTTTTCGTAATCGTGTTTGGGAGAGGTCTTCCTGGTGACAGTTCTTTAGAAGTTGGTATGTCGTAGATGTATTTCGGCACGATTTTTTTCCCCGCAGAAGATGCTGAAAACATAATAGGGAAATGTTGAGTGTGAATTACTAACTTTTGACTGTTGAGTGAGAATTTTGTGCACACAGATTTATGCATTTGTCTTCATTCATGAATATGTAATCCTGCCACTGGTTTTGTCAATATTATGGCTTTTCTAAACAATGATAGGTGTGTGCACAGCTTTTATTTGTTTATTTATTAATTTTATTTCTTCCTCAAACATGTCTGCCGCTCTCTGTTTTTAAGCTGGGTGGGTAGTTTTCTCTGAATGGCCTGACATTCTCTAACTTAAAAAATATCTTCAATATGCAGAAGCTTGATTTGAGTGATATGAATGGAAGTGTTACTTTTCCATCATCGAACTTTTATTACGGGGAGAGTAGTACCCACGCTGAGCATTCCCAAGAACTCATCAAGGATCAGGAGCCATCGGCAGTCACCTTCGGGATTTCTGGGCCTGAAAATGGCCAAACTCTTGATATGGCTGACCAATATGGCATGGGTACAAGTTCAATGAATGGAGACAATGGTGAGCCAAGCGAGATTGAGAAGCTTCTCGATTTCAAAGATGCATCGGATGATATGCATCTGGATCTATACTTTGATGCCATCCAGAATCTTCCAATGGCTGATGATGAATCATTCTTGGAAACCAATGATCTAACAATTGGGAATGAGGATAATCCCGCTGAGGCTGATCCTTCTGCGAATGCTATGCTAGACGAGTATCTAGCACTCCCTGCTGATGATATTTGCAATTATATATCTTTTGATTATTCTCAGATTCCAGAGGGTGAAAACTCTATTGCCAACCAAGGATCACCTTCAACCCAGCAGGTTATGACAGACTCTATTTTTAGGGTCACTTGCCTTGTAGATTTATACTATAGCTGAATATTGAACTTTTTTGGGTCATTGACAGAGTGTGGAGGGAGAACCCGCTGATAAAGATGTGGTTAGTAAACATGATTCTGAAGCACAAACCAGCAATGAGGCTTTTTCTGTGCGGAATGCAGAGGAGGCAAAGTCAGCACCAGGTAAAACTGCTGTTCACTTTACATCCTAGTTTCTCAAGGTGTTCCTTGATATGTGTACTCTTGTGTGCATTATAGCTTGTAAACTAGTAAGCTATCCACTCAAAATGTTATACTGTTCTCAATTTTTTCATCAACGTGAGGAAATTTTTCTTTGCTTGGCAGGAAATACAAATCCATTTGTTAAGCAGGCCAATGGATGGTTAGCTAGCATACCTGCCGCACCTGCACATGCTTTTGAGTTTCCAGCTAAGGAGATTACTATTGGGCTTCATCATGCAGCTCAGTCTTCCCATCCAGCTCATATAACTACGGGTATGATCAGCATTACAGATATTGCTTTTAGAGGCAGTGCCATGGATTGGCCGATGGGGAAAAATGGTGGGTTTAACAATGCTATATCTACTGGGTTTTCTCAACCGGATGTTAATTGTGCTGCTTTAATACCTGTTTCTGGCAAGACCGCATTTGTGTTGTCACATGGCTGGATTTTATTGACGGGGTTCTCAGTTCTTATTCTTTCACTGAGTTTCAAGATTGGAAGCATCATGTATACTGGTAAGTGATTACAAAAAATGTTGGACACTCGAGAATAAGCTGCAGTCATTTAAGTATCATTTAGTGTTTTATGGTACTCTCATTGAATGACCAGGATCTCGTGACTTTGTAGATTTGTTTATGGTACCTTAGTCAAACTGATCTATACATTCTTCGTGGTAACTTATTTTTAGAGTGCCATTAGATAGAGTAATACTGTCTTCATACGATTGGTTAGATATATTATTGTTACATACATGTTCAATAGCGTAATAGATGCAAAGTTTTCTGACTGGTAGAGGCGGTCCATTATTTATTTAGTTGAACATGTAATTTAATTTACTAGGTGTTGTATATTCTCCTCATTTGGCTGGATCTTCTGGCTAACAGTTTATGTTCAATTTGTGTTTATGTATCTCTTTTACTGTAACACATTATATGGCTGCGGGAGCGATAGATATAAAATTTATTCTAACATCATGTTGTTATGTTAAATGTGACATTTTCCGTGATTAATTATAACACGACGGTATTGTAAAAAACTTGAACTCGATTTGAGATATAATTTTGCAAATATATCATCACTGTTCAAATTTTCATTTTCAATTTTATTGTTATAAAGTTTATGTAGGGGTAACCGCGTTCCTTAACAGAATTTATAAACAGTACAAAATTAAATACACGCAGGATTAACCAACTGGGTTAGACCCTGGCCCAAATATTTGTAGAAGCGCGGCTGTTTACATAAATGTTGTAAAAAACATTATGACGTAAACGTTGTAAAAAACATCATGATTTTCAAATATGAAAGTAATTGAGTTAATTATTCACTTTAATAATTTAAATGTTAAGATAATTTTGTGAAAATTGTTCAAATTAGTCTCTTTATTATCTTATTTTATTTTGTTAAAAAATTAAGTTAAATAATTAACATGAAAAAAAAATTGGTAAAAAAAATAATATGTTCTTATATATGTAAGAATTTGTTTTGGTGGTGGAAAGGGTGAACGAACTTACAATAAATATCATAACATTTTTTAACATTTTTCTCCTTTCCAGGTGGAGAACACATCGAAGAAAACCCTCTACTTTCTTAATGTATTTACTTAATGCGTGTATTTAAATTGTATACTTATGACTTTGTTGAATACTATATATAAATTTCCTGTTTAATTTTTATCTAAACACAATTACCATATGCATAAATTTGTGGTGGGAATATTTATGGATATTTTAATTTTTTTTCTTAATTACAACTATAATTTGATGATTAAATTAATGTAAAATCAAGATAGTTGATAAATAAAATGTTATCTCTTTAATGTGTTCAGAAATTTGATTTTAAATTTATACGTATGGAAAAATATACATAAATTGTCGATATTATAAAAAAATTAGTTATTTATTAGTTGATGGCTAAGAATTACCTCAAATTCATTAAAAAAATGTATATATTTTAGGATATATACTGCTACTCTCCATTAAATATGGCAATATTTTGTTTTGATTTATGAAAATAAAGAAAAAGAAATAAAAAATATCAGATTTATTTGTTTGGAAAGAGAAACATAAAATTTTATGGATCTAAAAGAAGGGTTACGGGTGGGAATAAACTGACCATAGTCTAGCTTTTTATAAATTCAACTACATCTATTAATCTAAATAAAAATATTTTTCATATTCATATTATAACATTATATAAAAAGGTCAATAGACTTAATTATACAACACAAACTTAATAAATTATAATAGTTGTTATTTACCTAGATATTATTAATTTATAAAAGTATTAAATAAAAAATTATAATATATGATCTTTTATTATATTTAAATAAATAAACCAACTAATCATTAAATTTTAAATGGAATACAAACTATTATCACTCGTGTAAACCAATATTATTTTATTTTGATTTTGTTTAAATTACTTAATCTATTGTAAAAATAATAATAAATAACCATTTTTATGTTTAGAAATATACAATATAAAAAAAAGTTGAGTTAATTTTACTTCTAAGTATTTCTAAACTCTTGTTATAGCTGTTATTTATTTGTCAGGATTCATATCCCACAATTCTACATCAATTAGCGTGACCTTATTCCAACAAGAGAATGACATTTGTTAAGGAATTAAGATTGAATTTTTTAGAAAAAATAAAATTATATATATATATATATATATATATATATATATATATATATATATATATATATATATATATATATATATATATATAATCAAGCAGTGTATCCCAGTGATTCTGGATAAAAATATTTAATTTATTGATTTCCTTTGTAACTTAGAAGCTTCAAGACATAAGTTTCAGTATGTGGTGTTGCATTAAGGAGAAAAGGTTGTTACATTTCTCCTGGGAGCATGGTATCACCAGGTAGATCACAAACAGCAATTCCCTGAGATGAGAGTTTATATGTTTCAGATGACAGTTAACATCATCATTAATATAACCATCAATAACAAATGATATCATGTTTACCTCGCCCGTTAAGTGAGCCACACATCTCTTCTCAGCCAACAACTCAGCTTCAGTCTGCAAAATTCAATCTTTTCAATTCACAAAATTCTGAATCATCAAACTACGTAGGTGATATTTGATATCTACTGTTCAATTTTAAAATGGTAATTGAATGATTTTAAAAGTATTTAATTTCACTCATAAACGTGACCACCAGATAGCTTCAATCAATTGAATGTCTCACGAATAATGAATAACTTGCGGGGATAGCTCAGTTGGGAGAGCGTCAGACTGAAGATCTGAAGGTCACGTGTTCGATCCACGTTCACCGCATTGTTTAACTTTTTACGAAAATTTTGTTTGATTGATTTTAAGTTTCATCCTTACCTTTGCTATCCGCTTCCTGAGGTAGTCATCAAATATGACATCCTTGACAAGTTCATAATCACCATCGCCCTAATGGATAAAAAGTTTTATTATAGGAGGAACAAAGGAACTTTTCCAAGTTAAAGAGAATGAAGGTAGACAACCTTACCTTTGATCGACATGGCATACTGAAAACAATACCCTCAGCTATTCCATAAGGATTTCCATTGCTATATACCTGGTATTACAATTTCAAACTTTGTCATTGACATAGTAACTCCAAAAACAAGAGAAGACATCAAATGATAAATGAAGGCTGTGCCATGTTTAAATTTGCAAGAAAAAAATTGGTTGTTGGACCTTCAATTAAGCTTTGAAATGGCATATTCCAGACATATGAGACCTAATTTCATTTTCACTACAACTCCAATATCATTTTAGTATGCATGAAGCAGTAGAAATTGTAATGGCTTGTCTGTTTTTTAGTTGCTCTTTCTCTCTTGACATGGAAGATAACCTTTTCCCCAGTGTTTATGTATCTGTCAGTTCAGTTAATTCTAAACAAGTAAATGCATGAGGTCATTTAGTTATAATCAACTTACGCCAGAAGAAAACCAATCACCCTCAGGAGTAGGGGTTACTAAAGATCGAATGGCATCAACAATTGACACAGAAGTTGATGCTGCTGATGATCTTCCCCATTTTTGAATAAGCGCACCACCTCTCTATCAATCAAACAATCAATTGTAAGCTTTTAGCACAAGGAAGCTACATATCTTTTATACCATGTATTTAGCTGTGGATGCTACTTAAAAAGTAATACCTTTTGAACCTTTTCAGTGAACTCCTCCTCCAACCACTTATGATCCTTAACCACCTCTTTGACTGGCAAACCATTGATTTTAGCATTTAAGAAGTCGGGGACCTATTAACAAGATAACAGGTAACTAACACCATATCACAAAAGAGAGTTATCAGAAATCCAGTTCATGCTCATTATTCTGGTAATGATTTTTCAATGACCTGAGTAGTTGAGTGGTTTCCCCATATCGTCATATTTGACACTTTATCATAGAAGACACCTGCCTTGAGGGCTAGCTGGGAATTTTATCGAGACAATACAGAGAAGATAGATGTTATTTTTTCTATGGTAGAATAATTTTAAAAATATGAAATCTATCAACTTTGTTACCTGACATTTTGCTCTGTTCTCGTCTAGGCGAGTCAAAGCGTGGAAATTTTTTGCAGGAATGTTAGGAGCATTCTTCAAGCATATCAATGCACTGCATTTAAATACACATGAACATTAAGATAAACAGGCTCAACTTTTAACTTCATGTTTACACATAAAAGGCCAAGCTTACTTTGTATTGCAAGGGTTTCCCACTACTATAACTTTGACATTGCGGGAGGCCACTGCATTTAATGCTCTTCCCTGTTGTAAAAAGGTATAATCTCAGTATAATTAACAGCACTTTAGCAGAAAGTAATAAATGTGGTTTTAATTTGAATATCATTTGACCTGGGCTGCATAAATCTGCCCATTTATGTCTAACAAGTCTGCTCGCTCCATTCCAGGTCCTCGAGGCTTTGCACCTATTAGCAAAGCCCATTCTGCATCTTGGAACACTTCATAAGGATCAATACCGATACTCACCTCCCTCAACAAAGGAAACAAAGAGTCCTCCAGTTCCATTGCAACACCTGCAAGTTGAATTAGAACATTTAGAATGAAAACATCATGTGTGTTGTATATACTACTTGTAGTTAACGTTAAGGTGTATCTTGTTTCAGTTAAAAGCATAACACAATCCTTATACTAGCTTCTCTGACCTAACAAGTCAAATTGAAGAACGTTATTCGCTCAGTAGCAGATGCTGTTAAGGCCTTAGGTTTTTTTAATGAGAAGAATCATTGGAGGGCAGTAGTGTAAGAATGAGAAGACACCTTGTCCATCATAACCATACAGAACTAGAAATGCTCATATAGACACCTTGTGCACCATAACTTCAGAGCAAAAGGGTTTTAATTTACTGGCAGGGTCATTTTTTCCTTGGAATTGTAGATAAGCTTAGGAAAAAGGTGTTCAAAGGGTAAGTTATATGTGCTCATCAATGCCTTGCCTTTATGTATCTCTTTTCCCAATAACTTTCAGTTATGCCACATACTGATATGCACCATTAGTTAGTTTTCTTCAATTTTTTTTGTAGGCTGGGTCAATTTTTCTTATTATATGGGGAAGAGGAACTACTAATAACAGATACGAAATTTATTTTCCATGCTTACCAAAAAAATATCAAATTTACCACATACAGGAAAATTACCTTCAAGAGCTTGGATTGACCTTTCTGATCCCAATAACTTGAGAGCAATAGGTTGATCTGGACCAAACACTTCACCAGATGCAAGCTGACACAATAACTCAACTCAGGTTCTAGAGTCCAATAGCATTGCATGATCATTCAAGGTAGGTCTCATAAAAAATCTCAAAGTATATGCAAAATAAAATTATCTTGAACACTCATATATATTCAATTTAGCTTTCATGATAAATTAACTTTCTATTTCATGAAACAACAAAGATACAAGAATGTGGCGCTTCCCATAAATCTTCAAACTATAAAGCTCAAATTGTTTACATAGGTGACTTAATTTTTTTCACAGAAGAGATGACAGTATCAAGAGTAAAATAAGTATTTCTAACTCAAAGTGTTGCACATATATGGTCAAAAATACACAGTAGGGTTGCCCACGTATGTGGTTTATCACAATAAATTTCTCAATCAATAAAAACTTAAAAAAAAAAAAAAAGGTTCTGAGTTACATATTCAGCAACTCCGAACAGATCAGAAGAAATTTTATGATATGCACCTATTATCCTTTCAATGACTATAAAAATCCTAATCTGAGAGTAAAGATACAACAACAATGACAAAGCTTTAGCCCACTGGTAAGATTGCTGTTTGATTCAATTAAAAACTAAAGTTTCAATCAGAGAGTGAAAATAGATAAATTAAGAGAAAGGTAAGTTGAAACTCTATTGTACTTCATTGACACAATTGTTATTTAAATCCAAGATGCACTCACCTTGAAAAGTAGATGATTCGCAATCATTCCAGCAGCACCTGATACTGCAATGTTAATTAATTTCTTCCAGGATCTTGTCTCTTCTTCCTGAAAAATATTGGTCAAAACTTCAACACAGATAAAGCTTAGATAGACAAATCTAACTGAAATAACTTCAAAGAGTCATTAAATTTATATGCACATGTTTATTCTATCCCCTCTTTCATACATCTCATAAAAAATAACATCAATACATTATTATTTTAATGTCCTCAAGTTCCATTAATTGTTCATGTTGATTATCTTTCTTTACTGAAATTAAATTGTAAATTCAATTGATCATAAAAATTGGAAATAGAAAAATATTTACAGATTTACAAGACATTGCATACCGCAATGTAGACATTGATTAAATTCTACATTTTAACAATTCGGCCAAATACAGTTTTGGCATGAAAGACAACTAATAATGTTACCGATGCCCTTTGGCTGCTTATTGATGTTTGAACAGAAGGTATATGTATTCACGAAACTTGACAAAATATAAGGAATCAAAACAAGTGCAGTCAAATACAGAGATACACCAGTCTCGTTCTATGTATATAACCTAAATAAATATAGCAGAGGAAATTGAACATGAACATATTGCTACATCTAACAAATTTTTGCTCCAACGTACCGAACAAAACTCTCAGAAAACCTCAGGAATCAATCAGTAGTGGGAACTCAGTCACTAACTAAGATAATCATGGACAACACAAAACCCACAATTTGAATTTAAGACAGCTATACACATGGTTGAAATTCAAAAAAGATGGGAAAAGACACTCACAGCCCTCAAATCATAGGTAAGGCAGAAGACACCATAGCACTCAGCCTTACTTTTGGGATCCGGGGTTTTCACAGCTGGCACCTGCACTTCACTGGGAAGTCAAAGGAGGGAAATTCAATCAGACCCAAGTAGCAGAAAACTGAAAATGTTGGACAAAAACAATTAAGTTACTCACTTTGGTGCAACAGAACAAGAAATCCGAGCGTGTTGAGTTCTGCGAAGTGGCGCGAAAGAACAGTGGCGATGTCTAGGGAGATTCCTTGGTAGGAAAGAGAGCTGGGATGAGTGAAGACGAGGTTTCGAGCAAGCGGGGTTGAACTGCGTCACAGCCATGACAGCGCCGCACAGAAAGTCCCAGACAAGAAAAGAAAAGAAGACACCTTTTCTACTTGTGGAAGAGTAAAAGCAACACTTATGAAGAACTCTGTAAAGGGCACGTGTATGTGAGGCGAAAACGAAGAAAGATAACGTCTGGTTTAGATGATGCAAAGTGGGAGGGAGATAAGCAGAAAATGGAAGTTAAAAACGGAGAGGAAGGGAAGAAGAGGATCATTTGAAATGCAGTATAAGGCCATGGACATGACACATGTCAAGCATGGCCTATCGTCAAATTAATCTCCAAACTCACTTTGACAAATTATTGGATTGGATACAAGTACAAATCCAAATACTTTATGCAATACATTATTATAAAGTGATGATAATCTAAGTTTATTAGATAAGGTCTCTCATACTAGGTGCATATTGTGTGTATGAATTAAATTCAATATTGTATATGGAATGTAAGGATCAAATTTTGGTGGTACCAGTGTGCATCATGTCACGTGAAGGATATATGCCCTTTCTGCAATTCTTGGGGATTGGAGCACTGGTATAGGTCTATGATCTGTTGTGTAATCAGAAAAGAGTGATAAAAGTTATTTAATAGTTAAAACCAAATTTATTTTATTTTATCAGATACTCTTGAAGATATTTTATAATAGTACTTTTTCATAATGAAAAATATAAATTTTCATGTCCAGATAAGGATAAACTGGTGGTGGAAGGGTAAAAAATATGGTGGAATAGAACAACAATGGTTCGTGTCACACTTGACAATTGTTTAGTTTTATATGTACTAAAATATTATGTATGCGTGGAGGGAGGGATATAGGTATATAATTCAATAATCAATTGATAAATTATTGAATAAAAACATTATATATAATGCTATGATGAAGAGATCCAGTGCCTTATTCAGCATGTTAAAATAATTTGAAAAATATAACAACAAAAACTATATCTTGATTTCATACTCTTTAAATATATTCCATGTATAGTCTTGTTTTCACATCACACCTCTTAGACCCCCACTTTGTTAAAGTTAAATATTCGAAGTTCATTTTTATACCAATCTAAAAGTTCCATTGAAAATCATTTTTAAATAATTACAAGTAAAAACAGAAAAAAAAATGAGAAAAGAGGGAGTTAATGGTAAAGACTTGGATAAATGACCATTTTAGTGATCATGAAAATAGAAATCAGCAAGGTACTGTTTATTTACAAGATAATTGCCTGTTCAGAAAAAAAAAATGTTATTGCATGAAAATGAATGGGTGATCCTAAATTTAAAGTTGACGGCGTGTTTATTTGTTTTCTATTTATAAAAACATGACCTTTGATTGTCATGAGGACTAATAAAGTAGTTAATTAAGAATTTGTGAACCAACTCTTCAATGGAGGAGGAAGCTGAGATATTTATAAAAGAGAAGAATGTGAATTTGGATTAAATTCAATGGATCAACCCATTTAACCTGTTTATAGGAAAGTGTTATATATATATATATATATATATATATATATATATATATATATATATATATATATATATATATATATATATATATATATATATATATATATATATATATATATATAATGAATTAAATTGACTATTGAAGACCAATTATTTTTTCGCGACTTACACACTCCACCTTCAAAGACACGTGATTTGTGGTCCTTACATACGAAGGATCCTAAACATCTAAAAGCACTAACATAGAGTGTATGGGAACTACTATTATTGAAGTTTCAACATGACATTTTTGCATTAGTTTTAATATTTTTTTAAATAATCTTTATCACCTTTTAACATTGTTTTGTGAAATACATCTACTTATATTTTTAAAATAAACATATATTTTATCTTAAAAGAATTGAAAATTAACTATACTTTAAACATAATTTATCTCTATCTCTATCTCTATGAATAGTGAGTGCTTCACTCTCTCAAGATTCTTTCAAACATTCTCTTTCATTGTCGGATTCTAATTTGTGATTGAAGAATTTTCTCAGGAAAAGTGGTGGTGGTCCTAGAGATTTTGAAAAAAAATTACAATTCACAAATTATTTAGACTTACTTTACTTCAAAAGATTTGCGCATTGAATATAACTTTTATTAAAAAAAATTAAAACAAAAAGTTGTCGAAATTCAGGAGACTAATAAAGGTTAGGAAGAACACAAACAAAAAATTATAAGATGATTTATAAAGATCACCGTCTGAGAAAAATGTTTTTAATTCTATTAAAATTTCGTACAAATTGCTTCCATTATTGATTTATTAATAGATAATCATAGCATTTGAGATTTCAACAAAAATGCATTCGAATTGTCAACATCCTAGATACCAATAAACATGAACCACGAAAAAGTTACGAGTAGAGCCTTTGGTTGGAAAAAATATTTATACATTTAATTTTTTAGTCTTTTTTAAACTATATTTTTTACTTTATTTTATCTATTAATAATAACTTTTATTTTTAAGAAAATGCTGATAACAATGTTGGCCACTTTTTTATATAAAATATTAATGGTAATATTAATTATAATTTTTTTTTACTAGATTGATTAATTTTTGGAAACTTAAAAGATCAAAAGGGCTAATTTACGGATAAATTAATCCAGGGCTTGAGTCTATTGGTTTTAGTTGGTGATAATCCAATAAAGGTAATGTAAAATTAAAAAATGCTGAGAACAATAAATAATTATTTAAATATAAAATTAAAGATAAAGCAAATGTTTTTAAGAATGGAGGAAATTAATATATCCATATTTATCTAGCATTAAGCAGACAACATGTGCATCCTTTCAAATATCCCATTATTGAGGAAAAGAATATTCAAATAGCCTTTTTTCTTCTTTTTTTTTTTACTCTCTTGGCCGGCGACATAAAATTCAGAAAATAAAATATAATTTTCTTTAATTTGTCTTTGTTACACTTGACATAGTTAACAATGGTTTTTCTTGTACTTGACGAAGATAAGCCTTTTATATATGTTGGTTATGGTTCCCACATATATGGCCTCAGCCTCACAACATTGGCTTAGCATTAACAAAGACAATCAAATTTGCAGAAAATGTCAGGAGAGGAAATCTTGTCATCAAATGAAGAAGATTGTAATAAATCTCAGCCTCCATTTGTTAACAGAAGTGGCTACAATTCAAGAACAGGCATCTATCACTCTCTAGTTAAGCTTGACACTAAGCACGAAATCCCAACAAAGCCTGACCTTAACACTGCCAATTTTGTGCTGTCACAGTTCCCACAAGCACACCTTGCTGAGGCCAAAACTGCATTCATTGATGCAAGCACTAATCTGAGTGTTAGCTATAGTGAGCTAAGAAGGTATACTTACTCCCTTGCAGCAGCTTTGTTCCATGGACTTGAGGTTAGGAAAGGTGATGTGGTATTTGTATTGTCACCAAACTCAACCTTGTACTCAGCTATATGCCTAGCTGTGTTATCAGTTGGAGCAGTTCTGACCACTGCCAACCCCATCAACACTGCATCAGAAATTGCGAAACAAGTGCGTGATTCGGGTGCTAAACTGGCCATCTCCTCACCAGAGGAGCTACACAAATTGGACCCAACTGGGGTTCCTACAATTCTCACTTCTCGTTCTTCTGATGGCCGCATGTTATCAGTTGAAGAGTTAATAGAAGGTTGTTATGATTCAACAGAATTCCCACAAGTTCCAGTGGCACAATCAGAGACTGCTGCTATACTTTACTCTTCAGGGACCACAGGGATAAGCAAAGGTGTGGTTTTAACTCATGCAAATCTCATTTCCATAATGAGATTAGTTTTATGGTCTGCTGATGTCAGTGGATCCCAAGATGATATTTACTTAGCCTTCATTCCAATGTTTCACATCTATGGACTTGTGTTCTTTGGCTTAGGATTGTTGTGTGTTGGTATCACAACAGTTTTGATGCAGAAGTTTGACTTCCAATGTATGCTGGATGCAATCCAGAAGCACAAGGTTAGCAACATACCAGCAGTGCCACCGGTGATCCTTGCGCTAGTAAAGTATTCAAGCAAAGCAAGTTGTGACTTGTCCAGCCTAAGAAGAGTGGGAACAGGTGCTGCACCTTTGAGCAAGGAAGTGGCACAGGAGTTCAGGAAGATTTTTCCATGGGTTGAACTAAGGCAAGGTTATGGACTAACAGAAAGTAGTGGTGGAGCAACATTTTTTGTCTCGGATAAAGATGCTAAAGCTCATCCAGATTCATGTGGGAAGCTGATTCCAACATTTTTTGCAAAAGTTGTAGACACTGAAACGGGGAAGCCTTTGCCTCCTCACAAAGAAGGAGAGTTGTGGTTCAAAAGTCCTACTATTATGAAAGGGTATCTAGGAAATTTGGAGGCAACAAGTGCAACAATTGATTCAGAAGGTTGGTTGAGGACTGGTGATCTTGGTTACATTGACGAGAATGGATTTGTTTACATAATTGAACGGATAAAAGAACTAATCAAGCACAACGGGTATCAGGTACTAAAAGCCATAACAGTTTCAATTTTCAACTAGAATATCACTATGTCAGTAAACTGCTCTAGTTATCAAGGTGAAAACATATTGTTTGTCTCAGGTGGCTCCTGCAGAACTGGAATCTGTGCTGCTAAGTCATCCTCTTATAGCTGATGCAGCAGTAATACCGTGTGTTACCCTCACATTTTTCACTCTCATTTTTTCATAACCTGTGTGAATTTCTCATGTGGAAACAAAGATACGTTGCAGGATTGAAGATGAAGAAACTGGACAGATACCAATGGCATATGTGGTGAGAACAGGTGGTTCAGAACTCTCAGAAGACCAAGTCATTGAATTTGTTGCAAACCAGGTAACTAACTCTCTTTCCTGTGCTCAGTTTAATTAATTTTTTGTTTTAGTCAAAGTAAAATGGAGAATATTCAGGTGGCTCCATATAAGAAAGTGAGAAGGGTGAGTTTCATTGACACTATTCCAAAATCAGCTGCTGGCAAGATATTGCGAAAGGATCTTGTTTCTCAGAGCAAATATCAAGTTGTCTCCAAGTTATGAATAACATACATAAATGGTAGTATACCAGAATGTTTACTTGGTTCTTGGATATCAAATTGTTAGAGATAGATTTACTTATGCATGCAAAATGGATATTAATGTTTGTAAAACTAGTATAAATGGCTTTGGCAAAAGAGAAGAGAAGAACACAGTGAAATCAGAACTCAACTCCGAGACTCAAAATAAATACTTAATAAAGAACATTGTCCTCTGTATTGTTCTGTTGCCTTTGATGCTTTGGTTGCCTGTGGCACTACCATTTGAGTTATGGACAAACAAAAGGTTTGTACATATTATGCTGAGATTTTCATTTACCTCTGTAAGTTTGACATGATGATGTTATATTTATGCTTTCCATGCAAGTTTGACCAACTTCTATCTTATTTTTTATGTTTTACATGCACAAAATAATCTTTTTTTACTTATTTATAGGATTTTTCTTTAATACATAAAGGATCAAATATTTCTAAAATTTAACATATATGTTTTTTATTTATTAAGTCCATCTTTTTTTTCTAATCAATTTTTACTTAATCTATCCTTGTGTAATTTTATTTTATTTCAATAAATAAAATTAAAATGTGAAAAATAGTAAGCGTCATTGAATAGTTTAGAGGGTTACATTTATGAAATTTGGTTTATTTCAAGTGGAAAAGAAGTCATCATAACTAAAAACTACTTTACTTTTATTTTAATAGATTATAGCATATTAATTTATTTATACAAGTAATTATATATTAATTTGATGTTCCACTTCAACAAAGATTAAACTTTATTTATATTCCTGTCTTAGTTTTTTTTCTTTTAATATTTCTTGCAAAGAAAAATTTATATTGTGATCTTTTATTTATATGAAAATGATGTATTATTATGGTCATATTGTTATGATTTTTTTCACAATCTTTCCTTATTTTGGTTTGATTATATTCACTTCAGTATTGTCTATATGTTATGACATATTCATAATAATGTAAATTATTTTATTTTAATGTATATTTGTGGCAATTTGTTATTTATACATATGACAATTATTTTTTAACAACAAATATTATTTATAACATTTAGAAAATATTATTAGTAGCACAAATAAGTACTAATTACAATTAAATTATTATCAAAGTTTTAATAGTCATAAATTTATAACTTTTAATAATGAACATTTTTATGATAAAAAAATAGGTTTTTTATGTGATTAGGGTTTGAATAATGTTTAAAGAAATAAAATTAAATCATTTACTGTTATTAGTTGATAGTTTGATGAATGAATGAAAACAAATAAAAGAATAAAAGTTAATAGTTCAAATAACATGAAAAGATCAAACATGAATTTTAAGGTTCTGTTGAAAAGATCAAACAACTGAATAATGTTCTAAGAGAAATCTTTTTAGAAGATGAATAGGCTAATATTTATGAAAGTATTCTAGATATTTATTTATAGTCATTATTAGATTGACTATGTGTTAAAAAATTATAACCATTAATTTATAAGAGTCACTGGTATAAATTGAATGATTATGATAGAGTTTGCAATAAAAAATAAAATAAAAATAGAAATGATAATTATATAAATATTCTTTTTTTCCCAAAATTATAATCTCTTCCATTCTTAAATCCCCTTCACTAATAAAACCTCATTCCAGTATAAGCTAAACCCAATAAGTTATATTTTACTCAATTTTCATGTTTTGTTTATAAAATTTAAATGTTGATTAAAAGATGTTATGTTACATTAATTAGAATATGTTATATTAATATTTTTTATTAAAAATAAATTGTTTTTATAAAAATATTTCTTCAAATTTTATGTTTATAAGATGTATATTAAAATAATATTCAATAATTATAAGTTTCTTAATTTTAGCTAATTACTTTAATACATAATTGAGAACTATGAAAAAGAATTGTTTATTCATCCAACCTGACTTCATTTTCTCACTCTTTGCAGAAGCTTTTCTATCTGAAATACAAATTAGATGATATCACATTAACATGGAGAATAAAATTGCTGCATAACATTGCTTTTGGAGGAAGAAAATATAAAAAGGATTTTCACGAGGAGATATATAATAATATGTGTATGAATTGTTTATTACTCAAAAATAAATGAAGTGAATTTTAAAAGTGGATTATCAGAAGGAAAACCAGCAATTTAGGTATTGAGGAGAAGAAGTTAGAGGATTAATCTTTTGAGAAGTAAAATATATTTATTATTATTTTTTTGTATAATTTTTATTTGACAATTAAGCTTGTTGTTCATCAGTTGGAAAAATACTTAGAATTTTGAGTTTATATTTTGTGGGTCATCCTAGAATGTGTTTAGTTCTATTTTGTGTGATTTTTTTTTCATTAATATCTGATTCAACTTTACTTAGATAAATTATTTGTAATATATAAATTAGGTTAATAATTAAATATGAAATAAAATTGGTATTTGATAATATTTAATAGTAATATAAAATTATTATATCTAAATCATCATTAAAATAATATAAAGAAAGCCAGATACATTTGATCGATATAAGAACTTTAAAACAAACGAAGTTAAATAAAATAAGTAAATAAATGGAGATTAAAAAGGAAATAAATGTACGAATATAATTTTTTTTCGCGTTATGTTTTTTTTACTCAAATTATTTATGGACACTTGTGTATCCACATATGAGTTTAAAAAGAAAAGTTAAAAAAATATTTAGTAAATACTAATATAATAGATAAAATGAAATGTAGTATAAAAATAAATATTTAAATTGATGAATTAATTTTTTAATTTTTAAAATGATATTTTTTCTGTATTGCAAAATCAAAATCAAAATAAAATGTATATACTACCCATCTGCTCCGAAGATCAACCTGGCAACTTAGTTTTGTTAGATTTTTTATTAAAAAGTTACTTAAATTAAATAGAAAAATAAAATGTGATTTGATTTAGTTTGATTTTAATTTAATATAAATTCAAATCAATATTTATAATTTAATGTATATTAGTTTTAATGATTTTTATATAAAATTGATAAATATATCATAATGAAAATTTGTTAAATAAAAAACATTATATGACTTTTTTTATAACTGTCAATTATATCTCATTTTAATAAAGAATTTACATATCATAGTTACAAAATACAATATAACTTTATTATATTTAATATATATATATATATATATATATATATATATATATAATTACAATATAATTAAACTGTAAAATAAATTTTTTATATGAACAATTTATGTATATTTATTAATGGTTAATTAATTCTAAATATATAACATAATATTTAAATACTTTAGTTTAATTTCGTTCTGCAGTTCAGTTGATTTTAAATTCGAAATTTGAATTAAATAGTTTGATTTCTTTTTTCAATTCAAATTTTGAATTAAGTTTGATGGAAGAAAAATATTTAAAAAAAATCAAAATAAAGTTTATTTTGTTTAGTATTGTTCCTATATATATATATATATATATATATATAACCATTAAGCAGCATGAAACATGTGCATCCTTTCAAATTAACAGGAAAAGAAAAGATTTTTTTTTTAATAATTTCTCTTGTCCGATATCGTGAGCTATTGTTATGCCATTAGGGTAGACAACATCTGCATCCTTCCATTTACTCTACAATCGAGGAAAAAAAAATGATTTTTCAGTTACTCCTCTTGTCCTCTACACACAGTTACAAGTATATATCGTTTTGCTGCTTAATCAATATCAGGCATGTTTCCCTTCATTCTGTTGGCGGGAACGTAGAATTCAAATAAAAAGTCTGTTTTTCTAATTAATTTTGTCCTTGTACTTGACCAAGATAAGCCTTGTATATATGTCTACTATGATTACTAATTTTTCCTCAGCCTCACCCATAAACTTAGCATATACTACTTGCTTAACTAAGCCTATCGAATTTGCAGAAAATAATGTCAGGGGAGAGAATGTGGTCATCCAATGAAGAAGAATATAAAAAATCTCAGCCTCCATATGATAACAGGAGTGGCTACAATTCAAGAGAAGGCCTTTATCATTCTCTAGTTAAGCTTGGCACAAAGCATGAAATCCCAACAAGCCCTGACCTTAACACTGCCAATTATGTGCTGTCACAGTTCCCACTTGCTGAGGGAAAAATTGCATTCATTGATTCAGGTTCTGATCGGAGTGTAAGCTATGGTGAGCTAAGACGGTCTATTTACTCCCTTGCATCAGCTTTGTTCCATGAACATGAGGTCAGGAAAGGTGATGTGGTATTTGTATTGTCGCCAAACACAACCTTATACTCAACCATATGCCTAGCTGTGTTATCAGTTGGAGCAGTTGTGACCACCGCCAACTCCATCAATACTGAGTCAGAAATTTCCAAGCAATTGCGTGATTCAGGTGCTAAACTAGCCATCTCAGCACCTGAGGAGCTACACAAATTGGTCCCAACTGGGGTTCCTACAATTCTCACTTCTCGTCTTTCTGATGGAAACGTGTTATCAGTTGAAGAGGTAATAGAAGGCTGTTATAATTCACCTGAGCTGCCACAAATTCCTGTGGCACAGTCAGACACTGCTACTATACTTTACTCTTCGGGGACCACAGGGATAAGCAAAGGTGTAGTTTTGACACATGCAAATTTAATTTCTATAATGCGACTACTCTTCTGGCAAGTTGATGTTACTGCATCCCAAGATGACATTTTCTTGGCCATCATTCCAATGTTTCATATCTATGGACTTATGTTCTTTGGATTAGGATTGTTGTGTGTTGGTGTTACTACAGTTCTGATGCAGAAATATGACTTCCAAGCTATGCTTGTTGCAATCCAGAAGCACAAGGTGAATAACTTACCAGCAGTGCCACCAGTGATTCTTGCACTAGTAAAATATTCAAGGAAAGCTAGGTGTGACTTGTCCAGCCTAAGAAGAGTGGTGTCAGGTGCTGCACCTTTGAGCAAGGAAGTGGCACAGGAGTTCAGGAAGATGTTTCCATGGGTTGAACTAAGGCAAGGTTATGGGCTAACAGAAAGTAGTGGTGGAGCAACCTTTTTCGCCTCAGATAAAGATGCTAAAGCTCATCCAGATTCATGTGGGAAGCTGATTCCAACATTTTTTGCAAAAGTTGTAGACACTGAAACGGGGAAGCCTTTGCCTCCTCACAAAGAAGGAGAGTTGTGGTTCAAAAGTCCTACTATTATGAAAGGGTATCTAGGAAATTTGGAGGCAACAAGTGCAACAATTGATTCAGAAGGTTGGTTGAGGACTGGTGATCTTGGTTACATTGACGAGAATGGATTTGTTTACATAATTGAACGGATAAAAGAACTAATCAAGCACAACGGGTATCAGGTACTAAAAGCCATAACAGTTTTTCTACTAGAATATCACTATATCAGTAAACTGCTTTAGTTAACAAGGTGACCACATATTGCCTGTCTCAGGTGGCTCCTGCAGAACTGGAATCTGTGCTGCTAAGTCATCCTCTTATAGCTGATGCAGCAGTTATACCGTGTGTTGCTCTCTCACATTTTCAGTCCTGTTATTCGTAATCTGTATGAATTTCTCACGTGGTAACAAAGATATTATGTTGCAGGGTTGAAGATGAAGAAACTGGACAGATACCAATGGCATATGTGGTGAGAACGGCTGGTTCAGAACTCTCAGAAGACCAAGTCATTGAATTTGTTGCAGGCCAGGTGAGGCTCCTTCCTGTTCTCATTTTAATTCATTTTTATTTTAGTTAAAGTAAAATGGAGAATATTCAGGTGGCTCCATATAAGAAAGTGAGAAGGGTGAGGTTCATTGACACTATTCCAAAGTCAGCTTCTGGCAAGATATTGCGGAAGGATCTTGTTTCTCAGAGCAAACGTCAAGTTGTCTCCAAGTTATGAGTAACATATATAAATGGTAGTATACCAGAATGTTTACTTAGTTCTTGGATATCATATTGTTGTTAGACGAAGATTTACTTATGCAGGCATATAATGGATATCTAATGTTTGTAACACTAGTATAAAGGGATTTGGTGAAAAATAAGAGAAGAACACGGTGAAATCAGAACTTAACTCCGATACTCAAAATAAATACTTCTTAATAAACAACATTGCCCTTTGTGGTTTTGATTTTATTGTGAGTTTGTGAATTCACTCTTATTTTGCCATTTGTATTAGAGGTACGGATAAACAAATAAAGTTTGTATATATTGTGCAGAGATTTTCATTGTTCAAAAATTCACTCCAATTTTGCCATTTGGCTCATTTTGGATAAATATTTCCTCATTTTATATTGAAATTATGGATAAATTTTAAGATTGTATATGTTGTGTCTAATTTAAATTTTGAAACTATAGCTGCAGAGATTTTCGTGTTGAAGAGCCACTCATGTGTAAAAAAAATTTATACAGTCTCGCCGTGGAACCAATTAGGCCTATATCTGAGGCCTTTTAATTTCTTATTCACCATTAAACGATTAATGTTGAATAAAAGTTTTACATTATAAATTATCTAATTCAAAATTTTCAAAAAGTTTTTTTACTATGGAAAGTTTAATCCAAAATAAAAAATTTACATTTCAGATTAACTTTTTTTCTCAATGAAAAAATATAAATTGATTGTTAAAACATGGAAGAAGAAAAAGTCACCATGTGATCCAACAAAAGTTACCTAAGTAGCCATCTACTCGTGATGTCGGGTTGAAAAACTAATTGTTCACTTTTCTTGTCAAATTTTCCTTTTCGCGAGCAGAGCAACTAACATTTAATAGTTCAGGTTTTTGGATTTTTTATTATAAAAATTTGCAGTTCGATATAATTTTGCTCCAACGTATCGGTTTTATTGGTTGGAATTCTCTTCCTGCAAGTTATGTAGTTAGACCATGGTTGAGCAAAATTAAATTGGCTGGATCTTTTTAAGTCGATTTTTTAATAAAGAAATACGTGTATATTTAAAGCAAAACCCGGATGGAATAATGAACTTGTCCTTTCACTAGTTTAACATTATTCTGATTTTCAAAACTCTTCCATACAATTTCGGAGCGGAAAGGTTATTTATTATTCAAAAATATTAATTGGTCTATGAATATTTTCACCATTTTTTATTTTTTTAAACGATTTTATATCTTATAATCTATTTAAACTTCCCTTATCACTTCGTCCTAGTGGATTCCCTTTTAAATTAAAGGATACTCACAAGATACACAACGCAAAATAATATACAACGAAAATATATTTTTAAAATATAAATAAAACTTTGTTAAGATTTATAGTAGAAAAATATTGTCAAAAAAGGTAAGACTGCGAACTTAGGAGAAAAAAAAGGTGTTAGGATGATAAGAGACCTTTAGTTGGTCCAATATAAGTTAGTATGTTAAATTATATTTTGAAAGTTAGGACTAGATTATACTTAATATTTAGTTTTAGTTACTTATATATTTTGACCTATTTTATATAATATTTTAATTGAAATATTTTGCTTAAATTATTAAGATAGAGGTATTTTCATTTGTCAATATACATTATAGACAGTTATTTTTACTGTATATCTGAATTGTGGGTGTTATCCAGATACACAACACAATGATAGTCATAATTCTTGATGAGTTTTAATAATATATATTAACTAACATGATGAAAAATTGGTTGTCATATTGATAACATAAAAAGGTATGGGTGACAATAGAACTGGTAACATAGACTTGACTCGAAAAGCTTATCCACATAATTTATGTAGTAAAGTGTGTTAAACTGAAAAATAAGTAACTCAATTAGTTATGATATCGCTTGTTTAGTTTACAGTACACAATGAGGTTAATCCGACTCGGCCTACGCCCAATTTAGAATTGGGTTGGACCAATTATTCTTTTTTTTTTTGGTTCATTTAAAATATGGGTACGATTTTGTGGACACAAATTTTCTAGCTGGCCTGTCGGCGAGGGACGTGTGTGCAGGAGAGAAGAGAATGTGAGAGGGAATCACGAGTAAGGGTGGTGATTGGGGTAGAATGGGAATCTTATTTAAAAAAGGGAGATAGACAGGGGATGTGAGAATAGAGAAGATAGAGGTTGTGAGAATAACAAGCCAGCATAAGTTAAACCCAATTTAAATTACACCAAGTATATCTACACTACCCAATATTTAGTTAAGGTCCTCAACACCTTAGGATCAATCAACTAATTCTGCTCACAAAATAATTCCAGAGGTGATCAATCAATAACACTCCAAACATTTGCTTTGAGGGAATAAAATTCTACTGGAACCACATTATGAACATCTTTGACATGTAGATGACAGATCCTCTCACCGCCCACCGATTTTTTCATTTGAATCAAAGCAAAATACAATAACGAACACAAGGGCCACGCAAACGGATAAAGTAAAATTGCATTACGCTAGCAATTAAACATATTAGCTATTATATATAAAATAGAAGTAAACATGTGAAACAGATTCCAATATACACTCAAATGAATAATATAAAATAAAAGGTAAATCCTACTAATTTAATGGATACAGCTTGAAATGAATCAGTCAAAAGTAAACCTCTTCAGGTACGAATTACAAATACAAAAAGATGATGTAGCCATCTCGAAATTTTCAGATTTCAGTACTTTAAAATTGGAGTCCATCAATCCTTTCAACTCAAAAGATGATCCATTAAAAGTTCTGTAACAAAGAAATGTTATTTTCTAAATGAACAAAAATAATAGAATATAACCTGTTAAGGTTCCTCAGACTCAATAAATCACTTTCAGTTGACATTGCCACCATGACCTCATATTTCTCTTGTCTCACTCCCACCAAACCATCGCCAAACTCCACCAGAACTCTGTCTCTGAGCTGTTGCAACAAGCTCCATTTCCTGGTCCAGAGCAGACTTCTTTTCACGAAGAGCCTGCACCTCATCTTCCACTGACTGCATTGATTCCAGCAACTTCTGGAGTTCTGCAATTTTGGCCTGGAAACATACGTTACCATTATACTCAATCCTACACAACAAGCATAAAGCCGTATCATACTCCAAAATAGGAAAGTGAATTTGTACCTCCAAGTTAAAGCACCTTGATCTCTCAGCCACAAGCTGTCCCTGGACGGACTGGAGTTCCTGAAATACATATTTAATCATGAAAAATAGCATCTACCAATTAAATTATAGCACCTTCACATCAAATTTGCAATTCATACCTTGGACAACTCAGCATGAGTATTATTTATTTCTTCAATCTCGCTTCCAAGCTTAGAATGTTCAGCCCTGACTTCTGCAATTGACAATTCCAATACCCGTTTTTCTTCTTTAATGGCTTCAATTTTGTCCGTCACATCCTCTTTATGATGACCATTTACAGATGACTTGAAATTTATGTCATCTAGTTGCATAAAATCCAACTTCTCTGATTTAGACAATGCATAAGCTGAAGTAACAGAAGCAGCAGCAGCAGCGGCAGCTGGTGATTGGAAAATCTTGGGACGTAGGATGTCCTTTGCCTTGGGTCTCATAACAAAAAGCTGAATTTGAAAGTGAACAAGCCATCAGCCATATAATCCACCATATGGAACACCAAAATATTTATAAAACAATTCCCTAAAAATAAGTAAAATTAGCAAAATCATAATCTGTGGCATAACACGCAATTTGCAATCATAATGTCAGGTAGAATCCAGTTCAATTGAATTGAATTAAATCAAATTGCATGGAACACCAATCAGGATTGTCCCACTAGGTAGGGACAATCTAGTGCAGCCAGCATTGACCTTCTAACATGACCAAACAACCTGAAGAAATTTATGCAATACTCTCTCCAAATTTCTCCTAGTCTTCGTTCCTAATCTTATCTTTTCAAGCATGTTCGATCATTGACCTCAAAATTCTAATCTGCAAAACAATGAAAACATTAGATATTTGCTATTGTAGAGATGCCAATTTTCACTGCCCAACATCAACTAGCAATAGCATGGAGCATCCTTAGTCTTGTTAATTCCATCTACCTACCTACTAGGACTTATTCCAGTAGCCTTTTTTTTTAATAAAAAAATAACTTATCATTTTGAGGATAATTTAGTGAAATGCTCTTAACTAATCACAATATCATATTATAAAATGTAAACTCATAGTTGACCCTCGTGTGGTTTTTACTTGAAAGAACCTTGTCTACGTGGATATGAAAATTGATACTTTGCTAACACCCTGTGTTTTGCAATGTTATCACTTAACTACCCAGTGACATTTTCACCCATTTATTTTTTAATGCTTTAATGGTAAGATGAAAGCAAACCAGGTGGCTTGCCTTTCAAATTTCAAGTCATTCCCTTCCAATTTTTACCCAAATTCATCACAACTCTTTAGCTTTTTTGTTCTTAAAGATAATTTTCTGTTTACATAAGATGAGATAGGAAGTCCAGAAAACTTTGAAGTGTGCCAGTGAAGCTCAAAAAAGGAGGCATATTTCCAAACAAGCAGGCAGTCTGTCAGGAAAGAGGACCAAGGTCAGCCAAAGGATGAACATAAAGTTTTGTTAGTATACCAGAGAAAGAAGAAAGATCTCTAGTGTAGATAAGAGGGGTCCTAACAGAATATTTTTAGACAGTTAGGAATCACTCAGGGAGAGGAAAGATAAATAGACCCTTTCAAGGGTGGTTAGAGGGGTAGCTTTTACATTATTTTTGACAGGGAATTATCCTTGTCTGAGTGGAGAGGGCTCCTTTGTAATCCCATTGTAGTTCTTACTTCAAAAATACAGAATCCATTCTTTCTGTTCTACAACTATATTCTCTTCTTTTTCCTGAGGGGACCATTCTTTTGTTCTCTTTGCGTGTAGAGGATTTCCGAACATGATCTGAACTCTTGAACACTTCAGTAAAGATAGGTTCAAGTTGTTTCATTTCCAAAAGCAAACAATAAGGCATACATGGTCCAAATGAACAAATATGCATGTCTAGATTAGCAAGCAGAGTAGAAGCATACAACCAAGCACTCAAGCTGCTAAGCAAAACCATGCATGTTGCAAAAAAGGTCCAGTCAAAGTACAAAACCTCTCCAATGGCTAGAATTGATGAAAAATGACATCAAACTATAATAAGGAAGAGAGTGTGCATATATATGAATTATCACTAACAGGGACAGTCAGTGGCAAAAGCACATTAATCAATCTACCTGTCAAAAAACAAAATAATAAATCCAATCTTCCATAGCACTTTACATCACATACCTCATTGCTGTACCTCCCATTATAGCCTCCAAAAGCTAACAGATAGTTTTCTCCATCAATTGTCGTTGAACAGACACTAAGACCCTGGTAATTGTATAAATCAATAGATAAATATATTAACATAACATGGATTGACTTATGATCAGTTATTAAGTACAAATTGCTTACACAATAATTATCATATTCAATTACACACAGAGCAGTCCCCTTATTGCAATTGTTTAAAAAAATCAAGGTTCCACATTATTTCTTCTTTCTAGCCTTTCTTTTATTCATCTTTAAGGTCCCCTTTTGGTGTTGCTGCTGTATCTCCCTAGGGTGGCAGCCCTTACCGTCAGTGGCGGATCTTCTTGGGAGATGAGGGAAAATTTTGTAACTCTCATGTAATTTATGATTTTGGCCCCCCCAAACATAATAAACATTTAATATATTTACTTGTATATTTATGATTTTATCCTGTCAGCCCCTCCTCAGTTTTATAACTCTCATATAATTTATGATTTTGTTTCCCTCAAACTTAATGACCATTTAATATATTTAAGTATATATCTACAATTTTATTTTTTCACCCTTTCATATTCTTTCTTCCTTTTATATTTATTTATTATTTATTAATAATATATTATTTGGCCCCCCAACATCAATGGTGAAGATCCACCACTGCTTACCGTCTTCTAATACAATTATTTGTATTTTCTTTCATAAATCCATTAAATATACGTCAATCTTTGGTAGATAAGACATAAGAGGAGTTGGTTACTTTCTTCCTCAAATCTGGACGATCTTACGTTTTTGTTCCAAATGTAATGATGGACCTACTATTTTATGTTCAACTAGTCTAGTCGCAGTATAACAAGTGGCATTGGAGACTCTTTGTCAATAAGTATGCTCCCTCGCTAATTTCCACAAATCTGGAGCTATGTGAATATGTAGTTACATTACAGTACACTTTCTTCCAAGCTGAGCAGGAATTCTGCAGCAACTTTGTAATTTTAGATGTATTTTCTTTGCTTTGTAATGTATGTACCACCAAGCTTGGTTACTATAATGAATTCAAATTCTCTGGAAAAAGATTCCTTCCCCTTTTCCTTTTGAGTGCATCAGAGAATAGGTGCTTTTAAAAAGAACAATTCAATGAATTATAAACATATATTCTGTAAGTAAAAGATAGAACCCACATCTTATAATGAGGATTTGATCTTGTCTGGTGAAACAATTAACACTCAACAAATTTCTTTTTCAAGAAAGTAACATAAGCCTATTGGCTCATTAAGACAAGGACATGATTCTTCATTTGATATAATCCCACTTTATTATGAAATCTAGACTCAAGGTTAAGCAGGATTTTTGTTATCTTTCAGACCTACTGTGATTCTCATATATCAACAGATAAAATTATTTTATGTTCTTCAAAGCTTATAGGTGGAGACTGTCATTCTAGACTCTACTCACTCTCACTTGCGTGTAAACATCATAGATAAATAAATAAAAAATATGAATGTCCTAGAATCCCACTAACTGTACACTGCCATGGTCCACTAGATGTGAGAAGGAAGAGGAAACTAAAAACTAAGATCTTTTTGTTATGTGAAAAGAGAAATAGGAAAGTTATGGGTTCCCAGCATAAATGTTTGGGAGAAAACATGATCCCAATCAACTGAACTGAAGATACAAGGAAAAAAAAAGGCTCCTCTCAAGTCAAGGCAAATAAATTTACAGGAAAAGACTCAAATCCAACATACATATATAGTCATTATAAGCAGCCTCAAAATAGACAAGCACGGGTATGGCCAAAGACTCTAAAACAGACCTTGGAGAAGAGAGAATGACAATCCTCCAAACAATATTCCTGGAAATATTTAAAATATATAAAAAATTTATTATTGCACAAAGTAATTACCTCACTAGAAAGTGGATCTTTTTGCTTCACAACAGTCAATACCGTCCATACAAGCTTAGACATGTCTAACACCAGGGTTTCAGGGCAACCTGTTTTGAAAATCAGATATTGGGCATCCATAAAGAATAAAAACTAAACTATAATATATAGACAATCAATGCAGCATCAGTTTACCCATGCCCTTCACTTTTATGCAGTTTCTTGTGGTTCATTTAAGATTTTAATCAAACCATGGAGGTCAAATGTTTATGAAAAGTATGGTTTATACAGTCTTTGGTGTATTTGGTTGGTGCATAAAGCCTCCCCATTCAACTAGATTTGTTTCAAGAAGATTTTGTTTATGGTTTCACAGTAGTGCTAATCTCAATACAATTTCAATTGAGTAATTATTTCTGACATGCACATGGAGTGGACTAATTGAATTATTAATTTTCTGTTTTGAAGAATATTTTTTCTGCTTCCCTGAAGTTTTATTTTCACTCCTTCTATAATACTATTTCTTTTTAATTTAAAAAATAAAATAAAATAACTACATACCACTTTTATTATCTCCGCCACCAACTATAAACCAGCTTTCATCAATAGTGACACCAGCGTGTCCAGCCCTGGGAGATACTAAATCACCTTGAGTTTGGGGTTGGGACCACTCCATCTGAACCAAACAAGATTGTTAGATCAATATTTGTTTAATGCTAAACTTGAATAGGGGAAAAACTACGTGAAAGATCAATGGCAAAAACTCGAACAATTTCTGGATAGGTAAATGTAAATTGAAATCAATCAAAAGTTGAGGAATATTGAAATTGTTCTTCCCCTTCATTCCATGGATTACAGGGTCCAGGTGAACAGTAAACAAAATAAACATTATGTTTACAACTTAACACTTTACTTAAGAAGCAAACATATGGAACGAGATCCTCATAAACAATAGTACTTGCCAAGCATGAGGTGCAAAAAAGTGTATGTTTGTAAATATGTACACTAGTCATCATCAATGCCAAAGTTTGTGTTGTAAGCAACAGAGATAAGTGTCACTTATCTTTAGGATATCATGGGATTTTTGTTTTCCTATCTTCTGGTATTTCCTTTCTTAAGCTTTACCTTTTAAAAGGACCAGTGATTATACATTCCACACAATTAATATACAAATTCTATTTCTTCCAACTGTTTGCCAGTTATTAGCCTTTCCATTGAATGAATTCTCCAATACGATAGAAATTTCAGAAAAAATGCACAGCACAAACACTTATTCCAGGTGAGAAGCATATCTACATTAGCTACATATTCTCATAAAAAGACTATAATTACTGCTTTAACAAAAGTCTGCTTCTATTTGTTCTAAACATCACCAAAGGAACATTCTCACTTACGCACCAAGTATTTTAACTAACCACCTGCACGTACTTTAAACTAAACTCACCTTAATTGTTTGTTACGGTAATAGCTTTGAGTGAAGATAACCTATCATAGACATTAATTTATGTCCCTAAATTATCAGTGAATGTTAGCCAAATGCCTTGACACCTTGACAATCCACAATTCCATCAAATTACAGGAATAGAGTGAAACAAATAACTATCAGGGAGTTGCTTTCATTTGTTCTTATCCATTTATCCAGGACAAAAATTTAGATCAAGATTCCAATTCCATCTCCCAAAAAAAAAAAAAAAATTTATCCCAACCTCCTCTACAAATAGTATGAGCTGCATTCTCTTATTGAAGAAGATAATATTCCCACTATCTTAGATTTGTCTTACTGTTATCACAGTGAATACTATTCCCACAATCCCCACCAATGCACACATGCCTTAAATCTCAATTTTTTTTTCCTTATTAGTTTATAATTGGGTAATGGGAGGTCTAACCGTATCATATCAAAATTCACTTGTACAAATTATTATAGAGAAATAACTGATCACCCTAGAATGGAAGAAACAAGCTTAATATTAAATTAAACATGGAACGAAAAGGCTGGAAAATACTATTTACTTACTGTTTGCATGTCTAACAAATGAAGATCATTGAAGAAGACAGAATGAGAGCAACCACCAAATATCAGAAGGTAGCGCTCTCCTTGAATAGAAGCTGCATGATCAAATCTAGGAGCTGGAGGTGTCTGGCTATCAAAATCCAAGAAATTTGTATGGTCAGTCTTATGGAACTTATTTAAAGCATGGAAAACACTTTTTGAGAGTGTAAACTTGATACCACTTACGTAGTCTCTATCATTTCCCAAGTCATACTATCCAGATCGAGAACATGGACATCATTCAACAGCTTCCTGTTCATATCTTCTCCACCAAACAATATCACTCTCGAACCAACCAGCGTTGCAGACTGTCCCACACGGGCTACCTGGGAAAATAAGTTGAAAACATTCAAATATCTATTCAACTACAATCAAAATGACTTTCAAATTTCATATACAGATAATACAAATAAATTCTACATAATTAAATATTGAAATGATTCAAAATGAGAAAAAAAAAAAAAGTAGGAAAACAAGATAATGCAAAAGAATCATTATCCCATTTAATCGGGGTTGGCTACATGGATTCATCAGCATAATTAAACTAAATCAAACTTTTAGAGTAGGACATTGAAAACCTTAACCAACCAAAAAAAAAAATCAACACTCAAGAACACAACATCAAACTTTTAGATTAACAAACACACTTACTGGAACATTTCCTGAAGTCTTAATAACTCCAAATTGGCATGTTCCAATGTCAATGTATCGAACTGCAAGAAGTTCAATGAACATTGTAAGTTTGTATGTGTTAACATGTAATATAATATGCCATGCATGGATATGAAATAATCAGGAACTTATATGATTTTCTCCACATTATAAAAATCGTTGTATAGATACTAGCCTTTTAATTCTATAGAAGAATCCCGTGAACTGCCACCAAGAAGAAGCAGTTTCTCCCCCCACCTAATCTGCAAAATTTCCAAGTCTATGTCAGAACAAATCGAACATCAATATTATCCATTTATCACTAACACTCATGGTTCATTTGTAGCCAAACTGAAGAATTTCATGCTATAGCCTAGATGCACATCAAGAGAGTTGTCATAGAGATTCTTACCATATTGTGGCCAGATGTGGCAGGAAGAAACTCCCGTGAGTTATCACCATCCTCTATTCCAACATTTGCTTTTAGTTTCAGAGAGGACCATGTCAAACTTCTTAAATCAAAAACCTGCAAACAGCTAAATCATGTGACACACGACAAGTCCAAGATTCAGAAGCATTGGTTCATACTGAATACCTGAACATCATACAAGTGCCGGCCATTACGACTCCCACCAGCAATGTACAATCTTTCATCAACTACTGCTGCAGCATGCTACAGTGAAGGATACATGGAGTAAGTATCTGGTCCAAGGCAAGGCAAGGGAAGGACTTCACATAAGAAGTCTAGAATGCATAAGGATTTTTAGCATTCAAAAGTAAAATAACTTGTAACAAGACCCAATCAGGACTCATTTTTATGGTTTTCTTAGAAAGGATATCTTGCCTAGTTTTCCTTATACTTCTCTATTATTCAATCCTCTAATAAACCAAGGAAAGGAAGAGAAGTAAACCTTGTAGCGAGCACTTGGACGAGCACCAGATACGGTGATTGGTACCCAGTCATCATATGTAAGGTCCGTATGCCAATTGTTGACTTCCATATCTCTCCAGTACTCCTTTAGTCCACGAAGAACTTTTTTCAAATCATCTTTAATTTTAAATTGTCACTTCAAAATTAACTGTCATAAACATGAAACAGAGACAAATTCTCTACAAAACACACATAAAAAATCCAGGGGAATAAAACATAGGAAGCATGGACATGAGAATACAATCAATTTTAAATATTGGAAACAAGGTTGTCAAATTCAAGTTAACTAGTAAACCATAAGAATCTACGATTTTAGGTAGAGAAAACAAATTAACTCACAGTCAAACTCTTTTTTGGTAAACATGAGTAAACTAACATAAACCATCAAGTCAAGATTCGAGTTAGCTAGCGAATTTGAAATCAAATGTAATTTTTGCACCATTAATACTGTAATGTTAGTGTTTTACTATGGCTAAATAACTGTCCAAACCTCATGAAGAGTACTTCAACCATACTCGTAGCCAAAATATAAAACATTTACGAATAAGCAACACACACCCTCTCTGTTATTTTAACAGAAAATTACACATCAAAATCCACAGAGAGATCAAAATCTATTCCTAAACCCTGTTTGCCATCGAACAGATAGAGCTTTATTTGTTCATGAAATAATATTTCATTTAAATCTACCAGAGTTGCTTAAATTATGTCAACTGATGCCAAGTAAAAGGACTGGTCATTAACTACATTTTGTGATATCACGTTTCTTAGATGAATAATTTTTCAATGAGTAACGCTTTTGTGCCCCAGCTCTCATTTTTGTATCACTAGCATTACTCTACACTAAGTTACTGACACGAAACAAGTTTCAAAATGCAGCAAAATATTACAAGCAAGAAAATCAGGGACTATAGAATGCCTCTTAACTTAAACTGTCCGAAATTACAATCACAAACGTCACAGTTTTCATAATCACGTCATTTTCGACAATGCTTTGGCATGCAGCTTTAAGCGTCAGAAATTGCAAATCGAGATCGAGCACACCGTATAAAATCACCCCGAATTTCAAATCCTAACGGTCAATTTATATTCAGCAGAAATAAAGATGGCATAGAAATTTGAAATACGAGTAAATAGATAAGACTGGATTGAAATTGAAATGAAAAGAAGTGAAACCTGTCACTAAAGAAGTTGGCAGATCCCGAAAAGCCGTCACCTGATGCGGTGGAGTAGGAGGAGATCGGACGGTGGCGGATCGAGAGCCACCGTCAGAGATCTTAATGGATACGTCGTCGTAGCGCGAGACTGTTGTTTCGGACTTGTGATAAAACCAACGTTACGGCACGAAGTTCTATGTTGTTGTTGTTGTAATTTTGTAACTTCACTAATCGAACAAACAAAATCTTCAAGGTAGACGGAGACAAACTTAAATCGTTTTTTATTTTATTTTTTAGTATTTGTTTTTCAATTATTGTTTTGGTCTTTCATTAAAGAAGTAAAAAAAACACTAAATTCTCATTAACTTTTATCTCTTTCACAATAAACATCACAAAAAAATTTTATTTAATTCTCATTAAATATTTTTCCTTTATTTAAATAAACTTTTACATCAGTTTAATTATCTGTTAATTCGAAATATAATAAAAAACATGTATGCAGATCATAAATTTATTTTCACATCTGTCTTACACACTCAATGTTAAAAAAATCGTTTTTGGAAGTTATATTTTTCTTTTTAAGTATAAATCACATATATTTCTACACCAAAAATTTGACCATAAAACTATTATTTCTACGTAATTGATTCAATTAATAAATCAACAATTTCTTATTATTATTTAGCTGCTACATTATTATTGCTAGATTTAAGATCTTTTACAGTTATAAAAGTTTTAATTTTTTAATATTTGTATATTAAAAAATTCATTTATATATATTATTTATATATTTGGTTACTACAAGAAATGAAAGACACTAAAAATTATATGTCCATAAACTAAAAAAGTTATTTTTCAGTATTAAGATTAAAATTATATTTTGAATAAGTAATTAAATTATGCTATTGTATATTAAATTTATTCTTTACTACCATTCAATTTTAAATGCACGAGTATGTTTATTAAACGTTTAGTAGGTATATGTATGGAATTTTAGGTTCGATTCCAATGTCGTCCTTTTTTTAACATAAAAAATTAAGAACTTTCAAAATGTGAATCATAAAAAAAAAATATATATATATATATATATATATTATTTGATCGGAAATTTTAAAAAGAATTTGTTTCTTATTTTTTAAGGATTTTATGTAAAAAAAACATATAATTATAATAATTTTTTAATTCGTTACGGAAATTTTTATTTTATTTTATTTTTTATTTTTACATCAAAATAAATAAATATGTCTGTATAAATTAATTAAAATTAAACAAACAAATATTTCAAAATTTAAAATGACGTATAGTTAAAAAAAAAAACAGAAAATTAAAAATGAATGAATGGACTATTAAAAAAGTAACATGCTGTGTTGCGTGACAAAAGGAGGCAAAGAGAAAGATAATTAACGAGAAACGTACGTAGGTGTATCCAACAAACATCGTTAATTGATCCATATATTTCTTCAATGTTTTGTTAATTGAAGAGTTATAGTTATTGATTAGAAATTACCTATTGTTGGAAATATAATGAAATGCATGTAATATATATATAAATTTTAATTGTTAGTTTTCAATTAATGAATATGATCAATTAATTATCTGAATGAATACATTGAGTGGACCCTTCTAAAAGCACTAACTTATTTATAATATATACAAGTTACACTAATTCTTTAACATGGTTTATAATGGTAATTAGGTGTAACTTTGAAGTGGTTCTATAATTAGAAGATGAATGAGTAAATATATGTTTTGAAGCAACAGTGTGTTGAGGGAGAGAGAAAAGGTGGGTGGAGGAGAATGAAAGTTGAAAAAAGGGTTGAGGAAGCAGAGTCTAAAAAGGAGTAGATTTGAAGGGAGGAGCGCATCGGAAGATGAAAGGCAAAGCGTGAGCCCTAGAAGAGAAGGCAAGAAGCAGGAGAGGTAGGGGATTGCATGAAGAATAGAATGGTGGGATGCAAAAATAGGAAAAAGCAGGAACCGAAGAATGAAGGGAAAGTTGAAGGCAGAAAAGATGGAGGACCGTCTCCTTAAACCCCTCCCTCCCACACCCTTTTTATCACAAATGCATAAACTTCCACAACCCTTGGTCATTATCAAAGGGGATCTCATCTTTTCTCTCCCAAACGAAATAAACCAAGAGAGGAAGAAAGAAAGAAAAGAGTGACACATCTTTTTGCTCTTGACCCTTCTCTTGGCCACATACACCTTCTTCTTCACCCACCATGGCTTTACGAATCCTCTTCCTTTTCTTACTATCCATCCCCTTCTCATCGGCAAAACTCAACGTTGACTACTACAAAGAAACATGCCCAGAATTCCCAAAAATCGTCATGGAACACGTCTTCTCCAAGCAAAGTGTAAGCCCCGCCACAGCACCCGGCATTCTTCGCCTCTTCTTCCACGACTGCATCACCGACGGCTGCGACTCCTCCATCCTCATCTCTTCCAACGCCTACAACCCCCATGCAGAACGTGATGCAGACCTCAACCTCTCTCTCTCCGGCGATGCCTTCGACGTCATAGCCAAGATCAAGAACGCGTTGGAGCTTGTATGCCCTGGCATAGTTTCGTGCTCTGACATCGTCGCACAGGCCACTAGAGACCTTGTTAAGATGGTGGGTGGACCCTTCTACCCTGTGAGGTTGGGGAGAAAGGATAGCTTAGACTCCGACGCTTCCAAAGTGACTGAAAGCCTTCCCACGCCGAACATGACCATGGACCAGATCATTGAGAAGTTCACAAAGAAGGGTTTCACTGTGAGGGAGATGGTGGCCCTGACTGGCGCACACACCATCGGGTTCACCCACTGCAAGGAGTTCATCGACAGGATCTACAACTTCAGCGCAACCTCTGATGCTGATCCCACCATGAACCCTAAACTGGTGGAAGGGCTGAGGTCAGTGTGCCATAACTACACCAGCGATCCCTCAATGGCTGCATTCAACGATGTGAGGTCACCAGGGAAGTTTGACAATGCTTATTTCCAAAATGTGATGAACGGTTTGGGGCTCTTGGCCTCTGACTCCATTCTTGCTGTGGACCCAAGAACAAAGCCACTTGTGGAACTCTATGCAAAGGATCAACAAGCTTTCTTCAACGACTTTGGAAATGCAATGGTGAAGCTTTCTGTCTTTGGAATCAAAACTGGCAACAAAGGAGAAGTCAGAAGCAGGTGTGACCAGTTCAACCGTCTTCCCGCCTAAACTACACAAATTCTACGCTCTAAGGTCCAAATTATTTGATACTTCCAAACTGCTAAACCTTCAACTTTAGTGTTTATTATCTTCACCAATCTTTATATACTTCACTTTTTTTTATTTATAAAACAAATGAACAATATATATATATATATACTTGAATATGCTTCGTGTAGAGATTGGTTTAGATGATGTAGTTTCGGTTTCGGGTCCTCAAATTTTTTGGGGTTTTGGGTATCTAGAGAGCCATGAGTATACATTCTTATTTATGTCCTTATCAAAAGAAAAATGTCACAAACTTATTAATTATTGCCTACATACACTTTTTAATTCTTTTTCTTGTTCTATAAATTATTCCATATTGGATAAATTGTAATTCATACTAATTAATTACTACAAAGTTCATATTCTATTTCCTATACTTACTTCCTCCTACTTTCACCCCTATCTATCATATGCTTCTCATTAAAATCAACATTAACCAAAGACAAATATATATTTTTATAACGTGTAATTCTTTTAATACCAAAGACATAGAAGAGTGCATTTAATAATTCTGAATCTGTGTATGAACAAAAATAAAATAGATAACCAATTCATATGTATAACATATTACACTCTTCCAATTTAACAAATTCGCAAGCCTGTCCAAATCTTACTAAACAAAATGTTGAATTACATTTTTAATTTTATTAGTTATTTATTTAATTTTAATTTAGTTAACAAAATATTGACTGTTTTTATTTATGTAGGGAATTCATTTTTCTTTTCTTTTTTATGAAGAGAGAAAAAACATAATTTATATCTTCTTTTTTCTATTTCTTCTGATTATACGTTTCTCTAAATCTTCACTCGAATCTAAAATAATAATTTTTTGTTCTCAATTACATGTTGTCTTTAGCTTTTATCTCTTCCTCAAACTTTATCTCACTTATACTTATCTTTAATAATTCATAATTTTAGGAACAAATATTTATATTTTAAAACATTAATAAATTAGAAAAAAATAATGAAAATAATATTGCGTTTGTCTTTCTGTATAATATTTTACTTTGGTTACGATAACAACTTGATAGAATAGATATTTTCAACTTCGTTAGATGCACAAACTCATCACTAAATAACAATTTCATTAGATTTTTAAATTGTGAATATTACATTAGACAAATGGCATCTAGAGGGTGAATAGATCCACAAATTAAAAATTTATTTTAAGATATCCAATATTTATTAATTCAATTTTAATTATCAAATTGAACAAAGATAAAGCGGAAGCGATGTAATCAGAGAGATAAAATATCAACAATATATAAAAAGATAGAGATAAAAATAAGGATGTAAGGAGAGTAATGCAGTGAAAAAGAGACCAGGGAAAGGGAATAACACATAGTGATTTATACTGGTTCAGGTATAGTCAACCCTACATCCAGTTCCCAGTCAACTCTTAACATAAGAGTGACCCCAATTCACTATCTTTTAAATTCAGTTCACAAATTACAATAACTCAGCAAAAAATAAACTAATTCAAAAGACAATCACCTCCTTAGAAACTCACTAATTAATGATAAACACCTTCCTAGAATCTTACTAGGGATGAACACCTCGACAATCACCTCCTTAGAAACCCACTAATTAAGGATAAACACATTCCTAGAATCTCACTAGAGATGAACACCTCCTCTGAACAAATTAAAGGATTAACACACCTCCTTAGAATCTCACTAAGGATGAACACCTCCCTAGAATCTCAGTAGGGATAAACACCTCCTCTAAACAAATCAAAGGATAAAAACATCTCCCTTAACAAACCAAAGGGATGAACAGTTCCACACAGGAAACCTAAAAAACACAACAAATGACAGTGACTACTTAAATCCTAAATAGAGAATTTAACAATCAACCATTAAACCCACAAAGGAAAAGGTAATACAATAAGAACAGTCACACTTGGGTAATGGAGACAACAAATTGTAAAAGCCTGTAGAATGTCAACATCGAAGAACAAGTGTGATTAACAATGAAAATGGAGAAGAAGAGGATTTTGGTAAAATATCTCTGTGATAATGAAGAAGAGAGTTTTCTCAAAACATGTACAATATTTTTGTTCTCTTGCTCAGAATTCTTTTCAGAAAATAGTCGTTAGTCATTAATAATTTCATAGAGAAAAATCAGGATGTATTTAAAAACATTTATTCTTCAAAACAAATATATTTTTCAAATTTGAACTGCCATAATTGATTATGTTACTAGTATAATCAATTATGACAGAGAGAAAATTATTTTTCCATTTCTGATGCATCATAATTGATTATGACAGTGAAAAATGTTATGTTACGAAATTTTATCACACTTATGTTTTTGAGGCTTATGCATAATACCACTTCATAAATTTGTACATTCATATCCAGTATTCTAAGACTTTATCTAGTCTTCAAGAACAATATTGGGTTTGCTTAACTCTTGAATAGAATCTTTATTAAATCATATCTTTAACTTGCTTAAGTCTTGAATGTTGTTGACTTGAATCATCATCAAAATCATTTCTTGGAAATGTAAGGACATGTTTCACATTGTCATCAATCTCCCCTCATTGCTTTCATATTATTCATAATTATAGACTTATAAATGTATAAATCAATTTTACAATTTTTTAGTAAAAATAAAATAAATATTTTAATTTATACAATTTTTAAATAAATTAAATTAAGAAACATAACTTACATATTTCCATATATGTACCTATCTGGTAAAAAATAAGAAGAAAAATAATAATAATGGACATAACATATAAATAAAATTAGAAAAGAAACCATTGTTATTGTACCATAAAAATATTATAATATATTTATATAAATTTTGTTAAGTGTTAGGTTTTCTATATTTTATATATTATATTAAGAAATATTAATAAATAAATTCAAAAATGTTATTCTTTTTTAAAATTACATGTTGTATTCAGTTTATTATATTTATTAAATTTTAATAAATTAAACAAAAAACATAATACAAATGTGTTTGTGTTTTCATACGTTCTTTTGATGTTATAGGAGATAAAAACAAATAAAAATATTATAATTTTATATGAGAATATTTAAAAAGTAAAAAGAGAAAATAAAATAAAATCTAAAATAATATTTTAAAATATATTAATTATAAAAAAAATATCAGCGTTTGTTTCCACTAGTTAATATAATATATGTCGAGTATTCTTTAATTATCTATAACAATATATAAAAAAAACAGTGTACCTTTTTTCATGAATATATATATATATATATATATATATATATATATATATATATATATATATATATAATATTCTTTCCTTACTCCTCTTTATCATTTGTGTTTCTCAATTTTTTTCTCATGTACAAAATAATAAATGAAAACAAGAAAATAATATATTTTTTCCATACTACCTCAAAATTACATGTTCTCTTTAAATTTTGTCAACCGTTTATTTGTCTCTAATAATTCATAATTTTATAAACATATATATATATATATATATATATATATATATATATATTGAAAAAATAATTTATGTATTAAAAAAAAGAAATAGAAAAAATATGTGAAGATAAAAAAAAACATGTAATAGATAAAGATAAAAGATATGATATACATATATATTAAAAAATTAAAAGTATTTTAAAAAATAAAATAATATAAAAATTATTGATACATATCCACGTATTCATAGAAACTCTTCATATATAGTAATAATGTGTATATACTAATAATGTGCTAAAAAAAGAGAAAAAATAAAATAAAATTATAACGCTTGGAAAAATATGTTATTTAACAATGAAAAAGTTTTTATTTTATATTAATTAAGTAGAATATATATATATATATATATATATATATATATATATATATATATATTTATACTCTTCTATTAGAAAGGAGATTTATAGGATGTAGTATATAGTCATCATTTTTATGGTCTAATATATAATTTAGAAAAATAATTTATTTTTAATATTATACTAATAATTTTAATTTTTTTATTAATTTTTTATAATTATTATATTAATAAAATTTAATTATATTGAGGATGATTTATTTTCGATCATATATATTATGATTTTTTTTTAACTTTGACTTTATTTTATTTATAATATTTATATTTATTAAAAATATGAAAACAATTTTAAATCATAAGATTGGGTAATTTATATATATATATATATATATATATATATATAAACTTATAATTTTAATGATAATTATATGATTTTTATTATAGTATATTTTTTACTATAAAATATAAAATATTTACAATTTTAATAACATTATTTAATAATAACAAAAACTAAAAATTCAATTCAAAGCAAATCATAAACATTATTTTAGTTTAATATAAATTGAACTAAAACAAATCACACTTGATTTTTATTTTTGTTTACATGATTATTTTAAATAAAAACTAAAATTAAATAAAACAAAATCTGGAATTCAGTAAGAATCACAATTCCAAAATACAAGCAAAAGTGTTATTATTAAATATATCTAAAATATAAATGGTTAGCTTTTAATATTTGAAGATTTTTTTAAAATTTAAATACGAAACTAAAAAAACAAAAATGAATTTGAAGTTATAATAAGATTAGGAAATATCTTCTATGAAATATATAACTTTAACCATTCTTTGACATGAATTCATTAAGACATGATGTTATTATTAGTGTCTAAAAGGTTTTTACAAAATCCATTGCAAAAATAAAATATTATGTTATTATATTAATAAAAAATGAGGTGAAGAATATATATAAAAAAAGTTAAAAATAATAATAAAATTAACAAGTATGATTTGCCATAACATTTATCTTAATAATTGTAAATGTATTTCAAACATTTTTGTCAATTAAAAATGTCTGACTCTAAAAAAATGTGAAACACAAACAAATGTAGAGAGCAGGAGTTAAACACGTGTACGCGTACTAACCATTAGTTTAATGTTTTTAATTAAGTGGGTGCCGCCAAAGTTTATCATTATTTAT